ACCTAAAGGCCGAGCTACACTATGCGTGATCGTCCAGGAAATTACGTGTGTGATCTTTGAGTTTCCAGGTTTTGCAGAAAATCAGTACGCAGATGAAGTTCAGCTGATAGGAAATATAATAATTGTTTCTTTAATCTTCATGTGTTATTGATGTTTTATTAACAAAACAAATTATTTATGGATAAAATAATATAGAAAATGGCAAACTTAAGCGTTTACGAAACCATCCCTTAGTTGTTATTATTACGTCAACATAGTACAATACCTAATTCACGGAAATTCTGGAAAATCACAGAAACCGATAACAAGGGTGTCTCACAATCACGGGTCTGCAGACCACGCACGTAATTTCCTGGACGATCACTGATAGGTATAAGTGTAGCTTAACCTTAAATGCTTAACGTAGCACCTATCTAGGAGGAAAGTAGATGGCAGCACTGTCGAATCGAGCTTTTTGGCATAATATTCCATGAAGTCTATTCTATTTAGTTGCCAGTGCAGTTATATTCCAAGGCATGACTGGGACCCGCTGGCTGGAGGAGCCCGGCGGCTGACTGCGCGTGGGAGCGGTGAATTCGCTCTGTCGGCCGGCCGGCAGATCCCACGTGAGGAAGAGTCGAGAGGTGCGGAACGAAATCGTGCCATCTCGCGGATTTTGTGGTTCTGGGTGCGCGGGTGCATGGCAGTGGCATTTCTTCGTCCGCAACTTAACCGACCTTTCATTACCTAAACTAAAGGCAAATATAAAATAATTGTGATACGAAGTGTAGCAAGCGTGTGTTTATGTGTTTGGGCTGTGGGCCGCATTTGGCGCTGGGCAGAGATAGAACTGCCGATTCGATCACATGCGGAACTTTATATACTGTGGGGGTTGTAGCTACAACCCCAACTTTTAAAAGTACAACCCCAATGGCAAAACTACAACCCCAACATTGGAAAATTAAGAATCAGCCTAAAACACATGAAAATGAACAAAATATTTATCATACAGAAGCAGATAATTGAGATATATCAAGAAAGTGAAGATATCAATAAATTAGGACATCTTTTTGAATTCCAGATGCTAAAAACATTGAAAGTGCTCTGTTAAGAACATATCATTCCGCTGAGACTGAGACAGTGATCATGATATGAAAGTTAATCACTTCACACTTCTCAAGCATACTAAGTGAATCATATTGAAAGTGTTCCAAAAAATCTTAACATGTAACATGAAAGTGTGAAGCAAAAAAATCATAACAATCATCATACTTTTGCAGTGGCGGATCCAGCTCAGTTTTTTTTTTGGGGGGGGGGAAACCATAACAACTTATCGATTCTTTCCATGCCTCGTCCATAGGTATGATGTTTAAATTATGCCGTTTGGGAGGGGCAAATGCCCATTTTGCCCCCCCCCCCCTGGATCCGCCACTGTACTTTTGGGTTTTCTCACTAAACATTTCATACCTGTGGGCTGTGCTTATCAAATAGATAAGCATATATGAAAAGTTTGACAGAAAACAGTCAGCTTAAGAAATAAATTAACCTAACCTAAGCCTTCACCCTATGTAGCATTCTATCACCATAATCTGACCATAATATTGCGTGTCAACGACCACAGAACCACTCACAATCAAAATACATTTCTAAAGTGAAATATCACTCTGTTCGCAATTTTGTCAGTTGGCACAATACCACCAATCAGCACGAATATTTAGCTAAAATGACGACACTTAAAACCAACGTTGACGACCATAACAACCAATCCTGTGCGATAATTAGTGCTGATAATCTTACTGACAGGTTCGCGAACAGAATGCAAACTAAAGTCACATGTAAGCCAACATGACGCATCTGATACAAATGCAAGGTTTTGGCGACGTCTGTCAATTCAGCAGCAACGAATATCAGCCTCACAGCAGCATATTTCGGTGTCTTTCGATTTGGCTGAAAATCGGTATCCAGGGCCTCCTCGATGCGCTGATTCCGAAAATATGCCTCTTTGGGGTGGTATTTTGCACCGTTAACGAGTTAACGACTATTTAACATTTTAACGGGAAACGGCGGGGTCTTTCGATTTAGTTGAAAATTGGTAAACAGGGCCTGTTTGATGCGCTGATTCCGAAAATGCACTTCTTTGTGGTGGTATTTTGCACCGTTAACGAGTTAACGACCAATTAACATTTTAACGGGAAACGGCGGGGGTCTTTCGATTTGGCTGAAAATCGGTAGGTATACAGGGCATCCTCGATGCGCTGATTCCGAAAATATGCCTCTTTGGGGTGGTATTTTGCACCGTTAACGAGTTAACGGCCAGTTAACATTTTAACGGGAAACAGCGGGGTCTTTCGATTTGGCTGAAAATCGGTGTACAGGGCCTCCTCGATGCGCTGATTCCGAAAATGTACCTCTCTAGGGTGGTATTTTGCACCGTTAACGAGTTAACGACTAATTAACATTTTAACGGGAAACGGCGGGGTCTTTCGATTTAGCTGAAATCGGTGTTCAGGGCCTCCTCGATGCGCTGATTCCGAAAATGTACCTCTTTGAGGTGGTATTTGCACCGTTAACGAGTTAACGGCTAATTAACATTTTAACGGGAAACGGAGGGGTCTTTCGATTTAGCTGAAAATCGGTGTACAGGGCCCCCTCGATGCGCTGATTCCGAAAATGTACCTCTTTGGGGTGGTATTTTGAAACAGCTAATTAACATTTTAACCGGAAACGGCGGGGTCTTTCGATTTAGCTGGAAATTAGTATACAGGGTCTGTTTGATGCGCTGATTCCGAAAATGTACTTCTTTGAGGTAGTATTTTGCACCGTTAACGAGTTGACGACCAATTAACATTTTAATGGGAAACGGCGGGGTCTTTCGATTTAGCTGAAAATCGGTATACAGGGCCTCCTCGATGCGCTGATTCCGAAAATATACCTCTTTGGGGTGGTATTTTGCACCGTTAACGAGTAAACGGCCAATCAACATTTTAACGGGAAACGACGGGGTCTTTCGATTTGGCTGAAAATCGGTGTACAGGGCCTCCTCGATGCGCTTCATTCCGAAAATGTACCTCTTTGGGGTGGTATTTTGCAACATTAACGAATTAACGGCCAATTTACATTTTAACGGTAAACGGCGGGGTCTTTCGATTTAGCTGAAAATCGGTGTACGTTCAGTGTCTCAGGGGCAGACAGACAAGCCGTGATGTGTTCCTAGCCATCGTGGCTGTGAAGAGTATGAGTTTTGTTTACGATTCGCCAAACAATGCATAATACCTACATTTGCTCGTTGAAAAAAGAAGATCATCTGAAGTATTTGGTGATATGAAAAGGCTGTGGCATTTATTATTTAATTTCCTCAGGTTGAGATTATTTAGATCCAGTGTTAGGTTCCTTTGCGGCATTGTGTTCGGTATGTTGTCCTCGTTTGCAAAATATCTTATGTCTGATCAGCAGAGCTGGGCAAGTGCGTTCCTTTAGTGCGTTCCTGCGTTCTTCCGTACGTACGCACCGCCCTTTTTAGGAACGCAAGAACGCAGGAACGCAAAGTTTTTCAAAGGAACGCAAGTAAGAGGAACGCACCACCCGAAATTTTGAAGCGTTCCTGCGTTCTTGCGGAACCACCCGAAAAATGATATTGCTGCCAATGACCTCTGTGTCAAATGTTTGAATCTCGAGTACGTGTGTTTGCCGGTAGAGGCGCCACTTGTCGGTCGAATCGAGGAAGGCTTGCTTAGATTTAGTGGTGATGTTTACTATTCGATTCGGTTTCAGGCATTAAATGTGTAAAGATTTTTAGTGGTGATGTTTACTATTCGATTCAGTTTAAGGCATTAAATGTGTAAAGTAAATATGATAACTTTTACTAAGATACATCTTTTAACTTAACTATTGTTTTTAAGCAGGTCGTATTTTTGTTGAAAACCCTACGGATGATATTGGTAAAACGTATTTCAGATATTCGATTCGGAAAAGAGATGTCGAGTTGCTTTTCGGCCCCACGTCGCCATTCTGGGTATTCTGTGATCGATTCGCCCCGTGTTTGGTTGGGCCCGCGCCGCGTGGTTCGGCGGTATTTTTGAAGGAGGAACGCAGGAACGCAGGAACGCTAACGCACCGAACGAAAAAAATTGAGGAACGCTATTCCAGGAACGCACTAACCGCGGCCGGAGGAACGCAGGAACGCTAACGCACTACCGAAAATCGAGGAACGCGCCCAGCTCTGCTGATCAGTCACTATTCCGGTTTCTACTACCCGTTTCCGTAATAGACGCATTGCAGACGTCCGTGGCATTAATATACAAAGATGGACTCGTTTTAAGTTTTTTAGTCTAAAAATAACGTATTCCTGTTTAGGTCTTCTTTGTCAATTGCCACGAGTGGCTCAAATTGTTACTCGTAGGGAAAGAGCCTTGCTCCAATACTGAGTAATGTTTGTGTCAAATGTCGAAAGAAACAAGTATTCATAGGGACTGTGATTTTGGGCGTTTACCTACCGTTTCCGAATCGCCACGACCAGTGGCAGCGGAACACCCTCAATTAAAGGGGGCACTGCCGACTTTTGGTCCCATTCTTTCCATGCAACGCCCATAGGTAGGGCTTATGTTAAAATGCCAAAATCAAAGGGGGGCGAGGTGCCCCGGTGCCCTCCCCGTTCCGCCGCCTATGGCCACGACCATGGTGGCGATACCCGAGTACCTACAACCAGGCACATAGCCAATGGAGGGACGACAGGGCCAGCCGTCTCTCCCTGAAGGTGGACCACTTTTTTATTTTTATTTTTGTAAATGAAAATGTGGGCCCCTCCCGAAAAATAGTGGGCCGAATCCGGGGACTTTTCGGGTTTTGGTGGGGGTATACCCTGGGCTCCGGCACACTACAACCCCAATGAAAAACAAAAAGTTCCACCTCTGGATTCGATGGCTGGAGATGTGATACCGCGTGTTCGGATGGCCGGAGTCCGGCATTGGCAGCGGGCACAGCCGGTTGGGTTTAGGCGGGGCCGCCGTATGACAACATGTGCATCAGAGCTGTACAGATAGACGGATATGCATATGCCCCCTGGACCACAAATGTTATGTTTTCCATTGCCAAAAGCGTGCCATGAATGAAGGTCATGTAAATTTTCTGCCTCACATGGTTATACGAATCCAAGAACAGGGCCACAAATAAGCTAGGTAAATGCGAAGGGATATAGGACAGGTGCTGAATATTGCAATTCTGGTGCCAATTCAGCAATCATTCCGAATAGACAATCAGGCAACATAAGGCTACCTGTCAGCATTTTTTGTGCCAGATTCAGTTATTAGGTTCTAGTAAGCTTTTTGGTGCTGCTCAGCAATTAGGTGCTAGGAACAGCTATGCTATTTAGGTATCCAAAACAAATATTCCCCCATCGGGAATAGTCCAATACGGTAGAAGGAATGAAGCTACCCTACAAAAATTACCGCATGTAAATCGGTTAAGTGGTTGCTGAGATATAAGCCTCACAGAAGCGTGACCACGGCCGCTCATTCTCAGAAAGTCTTTCGCTCATATTTCGCTCGCTCCGTAATAAACTGATTCTTTTAAAAAAGCGTATATAGCAAAGCAAGGACGTGCGCCGCGCAGAGACCGCAAAGGGGGATCGGGGGACCGAGGTGGCCGGGGGACCGGGGGACCGAGGTGGCCGGGAGCGCCGCCGGTCTGGCAGGGAGGGGTGCAGCTGTGCAGCTGTGCAGCTGGCCATCCGGGCCACGACTCACCCGAAAGATGGCGGCCACGACGGCGGTGCAGAGCGGTGGGCGCTGGCTGAGGCCGCCGGCCGCCGCTGCAAACAGCTCCGTCAGCGGCGCACCGTGCTCGTCGGCGCCTCTCCAGGGCCACTCCGAGTCGGCTGCCGGCGGCCGGTTACAACCGTCAGTGGTCATCACTAAAACAGAACGTTTGTGAAATGAAACAAGTGCTTTTTTGGGATAAATGTGTTAACAAAAAATAAGTGAGGATCTATGATCTCACTGGATCTCAAGCAAAAAATGAGACTCGGATATGTGATCCCTATGGATCTCTCGATAACTTACAGAGCTGGATCTATGATCCCGACGGATCCGAGATCAGGATCCGTGGGATCAGATCCCAGATCCATTTTCTCGGATCCATGCACATGTCTGCTTGCTGACATATAGCGACGTAATTTCGCATCTCTGTAGCAGAAAAAGTGAGGGGAACTAGCTCACGACGGGTGATGTGTTTACCAGGACCGGGCAGTCGATTGATCTTCGGTTACTCCGACTCCGACTCAGGCTTCCAAAAATAAATTTCGACTCCGACTCCGGGCTGAACTGTCGATAGACTCTGACTCCGATTCCGTAGCCATGGCAAGTATGCGGAGTCGATGAATTTTGGTGACTCCGACACTGAGTTTGGCTCCGAATTCCAAAATCGATTTTATTTCGACTCAGAACTGTTGATTTCACCAGATTTGGACTCAGACTCCGCCTTCCTGGTATTTACCAGCAAGTAAGAGTCATAAGATTAAAGAACAAGTGCGTGGTGCTTCGTTCCCATTACCATTCCATCAAGTCAGATGCGACCCAGTTTAATCCAACGATACAAGGCTGCTGCAAGATCAAAGTCACAGAAGAGTATCCTTGCTAAAAGCTTTTTCACTTATTCAAGTCGGCCATAAAAATGAAGACATTCTTGCCATCCTAGGGCTCTAAATGAATGCTTTCACCAAAATGGATGCCGGATTCATGATCAGCGGCTACGAATCCCGTATAAGCTACCATTCATGTGTCTAGGTAAAAAGAAGGTCATTCGAGGTCACATGAGGTCAACATAAAACTTGAACTTTTCCATGCAAAATATTTGTCATTCGACGCGTCTTGACAAGACGAATGCGATAGTACCACTGCTGTAGCTCTCGGACAATTTTTGTTAGTTATTTGCGAAACACTAAAACCTCAGCTCAGGGTCGTTGACCTGACCTCTGACCTGAGGTCACCAAAACTATTTTTTATACTTTTTACCCACGTCAAACCCCACGCAACCGCTCCTGTGATTTGTCACAATCATTTTGTCAATTGTTTCACAATCGTTTTGTTCCATGATAAAGTATTTGGGGATTTTGGGAAGGGTGAGTCAGGTGACGTCAGGTCAGGTCGATCATCAGGCTATTCTTAGTTCGTCTTTGCCAACACAAGCATAGAGCATCGGCCCGTGCCGCTGGTCACTACAGCGAAAATTCAGCAGCATACCCAGCGCAGCTATCCACTCGCTCCTCCGCTAATTACTTCGACTGCCCGGCTCGGCCCGACCCTGCCCGGCCACCCTATCCGGAACAAATTGGACTCTGCGGGAGGTCGCGGGAGGGACCGCCGCTTCAATTCTTTCTTACAGTATCTTTCTTACAGCTTCAAAAAGTGGGCATCTCTGTTCAATTTTGTCGACAGATCATTCAAGTTCACCCCTGCAATGACCATTGACCAGCCCTAAACAGCATTGACTCAAGAAAATATGAAAAATGAGTACTTTTTGGTGAAAAATGGCAAATCTTCTGGTCTAGAACAAAGCATCAGAACCGCAGATATCTATGGGGCTCCTCAAAGCCATTCTTCATCACCATCTTAATATGTTTAGCACGCGCACCGACCGCCAACTGCGCCAACTTAGAACCGACGGGGGGGGGGCGGATGACCCCTGAGATCTCGAGAACGAAGCAAGATAGCGACAAGCGGTAAACGGCATGGGATACGCACGGACAAGGTCTACAATTTTTACAAAGGTAATTTTCAGGTCAGGTCAAAGATGACGTCACAGGGGTCAAAAAAGTCAAAGTGGCGATGGTGGCGGCGCTAGATATGGAGTTTTTCTCGAGTAACTTTCGAACTAGTCAAGATAAAAACAAACTAAGGGCATCATCGTGATCCTCTCGTCAATCCGCATCGAATGATATATATGTTGACCTCGAAAGGTCAAGGTCAAAGGTTGACCTCAGGTCACGTGACCTCGAGGTCATCATGTATATCATTCGATGCGCCTTGACGAGCTGAACACAATGAGACCATCCGCGCGGCTGTATCTTGTTCCTGTGCGGAGTTATTGGCAAAAAACATTTGGTGACCTTTGATGACGTCACATGACCTTACAGCCGCCCAACAGCAAAACAGACCTCAAGGTAGTGAAGTTTGATGGTATATGAAGTCATGTATGGTTTATGGGGCCGTTGAGATCCGTTTTAGTGGTAAAAAAACAGGGAGTTGATTTTTCCCCCATTGACTTTAATGGGGAGGTCGAGAAATTGACCTCCCCATTGCATTGACCAAAGAAAAGAAATTGAAAAAGGTCATCGATATCCAAATTCCGAGATATACAAATTGTAGCTACTAATGAGCTTGTAGCATCCTGCGACAATCAAAGGCCTCCGACATCTACTGTAGCTCTGGCACGGTGATAAAGTTGCAAAAAAGTGACTTGAGGTTGGGTCATTCAAAGTGACCTGGTAACCTGACCCTAAAAGTTAGGAGGTTCAAACTTGCACACCACGTGTAAAATTGATGAGAGAATATCCGTACCAAATTTCGCGGCACACTGAGTAACGGCCACCAAATGAGTGCAACGTGGTGAAGTCAGTCGGCAGGGTGATAGTGGTTACGTTCTGGGATGCTGACGGGGGTCATCATCATCATCATATATTTTTTGCGTCACATGGGAAGTAAGTAAGAAATAGAAAACATCAGAAATCAGTGACACAAAGGATCGGTGCAGAAGCCTACCGGCTTAAATTAAAGCACCTTTCCTGAGAAAAAAAAAACGAACGAAGCTGAAGTCGAGCTTGAACAAAACATACAGCACATACAACAGAAAGGAAAGAGCACCACCGGATGTGTTAATGATGGATGTTATTACTGATGCGAGTGATTACTTTTTTGTTGTGCCAGTGGCTGGTCTGGGGACGATTTAATTGTTGAACCGTCTTGTACTGAAGATAAATTTTTGGAACTCAGAGGCAACTCTGAGTTCTGCTCGTCAGCTTTCAAAAACAGGGGCGCGCAATCTACTATTATAAATCTTAAAAAGTCCGCCGCCGCCCACGCCCACGCCGCCGTCGGGGTTACTCCCAAAAACGCTTATTGCGGCGCCGTCGATTGACGCAGGATGGTGAAATTTTTACCACTCGTGGGTCACGTAAATGAACAGGTCGTATTAAATTTTGGGCACGATGCGGCCGGGGGTGCGCCCGTGGCGCGTGCTCATGTGCGCCATAGGGTTAGCATTAGAATCGGCAAAAACAGGCTATTGCTCGGGAACGGTAAGGGCTACGGGGGTGAAATTTTCGCTGTAAGTCGATCGCGTGCACTCATTTGTCGTATTAAATTCTTGAGGGGGTGGGTTCAGCGGTGTGCACGTGATGGGGCCGCGACCGGCGCCGAGCAGAGGGCACGTGCTTTAGGCTCAGTTGTTCGCTTAAAAACTGACTGGATATAATCAGAGCCGGAAGGTCATTGACCTTTGACAACGAATACCGGCGCCGGGCACCCCTCGCCAAGGGGATTCGCCAGTAAATACGATAAATTTGTGTTTGCAATATCTCAGCCGTTTCTGGGCCGATTTAGCTGAAACTTGGATTGTCGGTGGCAGTGTAGGGTAGGGTAGGGTAGGGTAAAGTAGGGTAGGGTAGGGTAGGGTAGGGTAGGGTAGGGTAGGGTTGGGTAGAATAGGGTAGGGTAGAGTAGGGTAGGTTGGGTAGGGGATTGTAGGGTAGGGTAGGGTTGGGTAGGGGATTGTAGGGTAGGGTAGGGTAGGGTAGGGGATTGTAGGGTAGTGTAGGGATGGTGTAGGGGTAGGGTAGGGTAGGGTAGGGGTAGGGTAAGAGTAGGGTGGGGTAGGGTAGGGTAGGGGTAGGGTAGGGGTAGGGGTAGGGTAGGGTAGTGTAGGGTAGGGGTAGGGTAAGGTAGGGTAGGGTAGGGTAGGGTAGGGTAGGGTAGGGTAGTGTAAGGGTAGGGTATGGTATGGTAGGGTAGGGGTAGGGTAGGGTAGGGGATTGTAGGGTAGGGAAGAGTAGGGTAGGGTAGGGTAGGGTAGGGTAGGGGATTGTAGGGTAGGGTAGGGTAGGGTAGGGTAGGGTAGGGTAGGGTAGGGTAGGGGATTGTAGGGTAGGGAAGAGTAGGGTAGGGTAGGGTAGGGTAGGGTAGGGTAGGGTAGTGTAGGGGTAGGGTAGGGTAGGGTAGGGGTAGGGTAGGGTAGGGTAGGGGTAGGGTAGGGTAGGGTAGTTAGGTTAGGGGTAGGGGTAGGGGTAGGGTAGGGTAGGGGTAGGGTAGGTAGGGTAGTTAGGTTAGGGGTAGGGGTAGGGGTAGGGTAGGGTAGGGTAGGGTAGGGTAGGGTTGAATTGAGTAACATCCTAACTTGCAAAGGGCTCAAACAACTCGCATGCATCACCATCATACTTTATAGTTCAATTAAAAGCAGTTACCCAGTTCTACACAAATACTACCAATAGAAATGCAAGTTTCTACACCCAAACTAATGCATCCGTTAATCATACATATCAAAACATACAGTTATCGCGTAAACCTGTACCTCTAGTCTACTATTATAAATCTTAAAAAGTCCGCCCACGCCGCCGTCGGGGTTACTCCCTAAAAGGCTTATTGCGGCGCCGTCGATTGACGCAGGAGGGTAAACTTTTTACCGGTTGTGGGTCACGTAATAAAACAGGTCGTATTAAATTTTGGGCACGATGCGGCCGGGGGTGCGCCCGTGGCGCGTGCTCATGTGCGCCATAGGGTTAGCATTAGAATCGACAAAAACAGGCTATTGCTCGGGAACGGTGAGGGCTACGGGGGTGAAATTTTCACGCCAAGTCGAGCGCGTGCACTCATTTGTCGTATTAAA